AGCAAAGCTGAAACTGACTAAGCTGACTACAGCCTAGCTATTTCAAGCCAACACAAACTAAGAACACTACTGCTTAGCAGTCTAAGTCTAATCAAAATATTTGGGGATCCAGAACCTATCAGAGGGAATATGATATGCCCCTTCTATGGATTGTTTAGCAGGGTGTTCCTCGTGTCACTTATTCAGCTCTGTGCTCATTGTAAATAGACCTGAATAAGCAGGAGATCAAACTACACAGACTGTTAACTATATTGTAGTGACTCAAACTGAAGTTTGTAGCCTCTAGCATGCCAGCTACTGGTTGCAAGTGGTACATGTGGAAATATTAATATACAAAAGTTATTTATTGCCTATCTAGAAACTAAAAAATATATTAGCCCTGAACATTTTTTTATGCATTCTTTATTTATAGATTGTTTTCAATGTTTACAACAATCAGAAAATGATGGACATGCAATAGATACATAGACAAAACCAGCCATGTAAAATTCAAAAGGATACAAGCAGGAAATTACCATAAAGCTAGGTATAGTTAAGAACCAGCGTACTCAGAGCACGTCTAGGGCCAAAATTATAGCCCAGAAAACTTCAAGAATCTAGATGTTTTGTCGAGCAATAGCCCAGCATGAAGCCTGCCCTAGGAAGGGCACACTGAACAGTTCAGAAGGGAAGATGAGCGTGGACATAAAAAAGAAAGAACAAAAAAAAAAAGAAAGAAAGAAAAAAGGAGGAGGACACAGGTGGGGCAACACCACTGGTGGAAGAGGCAACAAGAATACAGCTATCATCCAAAGTAATTACACCTGTCAGGGGTACAAGAATGACAAGGGTAGGTGGTGTATAAAATGGAAATGAGCGAGCGCCAATACTAATTAGCAGGTGTATCAGGTGGTGTATGGTGAGTGTGACAGCTCATGAAATTCAACCCACCAAAATCTTTTTAAATCCATTCATACAGGAAAATTCGAGCCAGTAGAATCACATTAATAGAGCTGGAGCTTCCATTTCCCTAATGTCCTCAACTTTAAGGATACACTGCTTTAAAGTAGCTGGGTGTACTGACTTCCATAAAGGCGGAATACACGTCCAAACAGCCTTAACCAGATATCTCACTCCTGATTTTTTTATATACATGGACAATGGTATCTCATTGTGGTGCAGTACATAAAAGGAAGGTGTAAATGGTATTGTCAGTAAATTTTTGCAGGATTGCATGTACTCCATTTCAAAAAGTACCGGGCACTGAGCAGGACCAAAATATATGTAACATGTCGCCTCCCTCAGCACCACACCTCCAACATGATTTTGAACAAATTTTGTTAATAGGGATTAACAGAGTATTCAAAAAAATAGTCAATATGGGAACATCAAGCTTGAGTATTAAAGCCCTTTTAGCATACAGATACCCTCCAATGTTGAAGTATTAACTAACAAATACTTCTCAATCAATGCATTCCAGGCTTCTTTCATAACGAATAGCACATGTGTGGCTGAATCACATTGTGTTAGTAAACTCGGCTAACTGTTTATACAGAGGACCGGACTCCCAATGACTCACTGTAGAATTTCAGCAATTGATACGTTCTCCAACATCCTGTCTGATGGTAATGGAGCAGCTGGGTTCTGGTTAAATCATAGTGTACTGTATATAAAACATTGACTTATATACAAAGGCCTGCAATGTGAAACTGAACAGGGTATCTGGTTACATCTGTGACACACCAAAATATAGGAATTAGTCAGTTTATTAAGGAAACCTAGTCTACTGATTAAAGGCAACCATCATAGAGATACAATGTAAGATATCCTGTATCAATACACAACATTTAATTGATTGTCAAGCATCAGAATTTATTTCTTTAAACTGGAGTAATATTTTTTTTGTCTTTCTTGGTATTGCTTTTAATCTGACCACACAAGTTGTGGCTAAAATATAAACCTAGATAAATGATAAAGGGCCATTTGAACTGAATAGCTAAATGTTGCTTTTGACCGATCACTATTTCCTGAAGCCAGTTGCTCAACACTGTAGTAATTGCTGCATGATGGGATGTAACTGCATCTAATGTGACTGACGCCACACAACTGTTGTATCAGTAAGTGGTTGGAAATGGTTTCCGCAACACTTGGGGACAGTTTTCAGCAACAGATATTGGAGGGTGGATTTTGGGTGGTTGTTATTGCACCTCTCAGTCAGCTACAAATTACTGCAAAGTCACTCAGTCGTTTTAATCTGCAATTTCTGTGCACCAAGCAGGGGCGGACTGACAACTCATGGGGCCCCCGGGCAATAGGGGATCATGGGGCCCCTGTGTCCTTGCCCAAACTCAAAAAAGCCTATGAAAAAGGTACCAGGGGCATCTCATGGGGCCCCCTACTGACCCCAGGCCCTCGGGCAGTGCCCGAGTTTCCCAATGGTCAGTCCGCCCCTGGCACCAAGCCAGTCGGGCATCTACAGTATGGGGGAGATTTACTAAAACTGGAGCATACAGAATCTGGTGTAGCTGAGCATGGTAGCCAATTAAATGCATGTGGACACCCCTCCAAATGATTGAGTTTTGTTTTTTCCAGTGAAGGGTATTGTTAATATTTCATCACACAAAGATGTTTTAGACAACTGTGGACTTCCAACCTTATGGCACCAGTGCAGCATAGGTCCTTTTTTGTTTCAGCTTGACTGTGCCCCTGTGTACAAACCCTGCTCTGTTAAGACATGGTTTGATGAGTTTGATGCTCTACAGCTCAAGGCACCTGCACAGAGCCCTAACTGCAACCCTAATTGACACCTTTGGGATGAACTGGAATGCCAATTGTAAGCCAAGTCTTCTCACCAACATCAGCACATGACCTTTCGCGCTAAATGGGCAAACATTCCCACAGACATATTACAAAATCATGGAGAAAGCCTTCCCAGAAAGCTGGAAGTTGTCATAGACATAGAGGAGAAGCAATTCCATAGCAATGTGCATGGTTTTAGAATGAGATATCCAACAACATATAACTGATGGTCAGGGGCCACAAACCTTTGGTCATATAGTGCATTTTAGAAGTATTTCATGTAAACAGAATTAAAGTCAATATTCTTCTACACTCCAAGAATTAGATAAAAATAAAATAAAAGATGATTTGATCGCCACCATATGTATATTTAAAATAGATACTGTATGTTTTATTTCTGTTACCTTCCAATATTCTTAATATTACGATATACAGGCTTTCAACATTTTCCTATTTTATTGTATTTTACGGCTGCAATATTTTGGTTCTGGTGACGTGGGATAGCTAAGCAATATCCTTGATCTTACTGACTGTTTATGACACTGTGAGAACACTGATATTTACCATACAGGACCGTTAATTGAATTAGACAATAGTTTAAAGTGTCACTAAACCCAGGACCTCTGCATTCACTATATCTGGTCTCCCACAGTACACAGAACATGGAACTGCAATTATTTTAGTAAATATAAACTGCTAAATACCTTTTCTCATCATCAGTAGTTAGAGCAGTCTTGTGACTACAGCAGAGCACTGGTTAAAGCTTGCAGGAGGAGTTTTCTTTCTGCTCTAGGAGGATGCAAAACCCCTGACCCTCTGTCTGGACAATGCTGATTGGCCCTATGCTGATCACATGCACTCTCCCAAGAAAAAAAAAAAAAACCTCTAGCAATACACACTAAACTGAGCATGTGCACGTGGCTACGAGTTCAGTCTGTCTTATCAGGTGGCCATTTGAACAAGAGGAGGGGCATAGAAAACAGGATCAAACGGCCTTTTTACACAATGCAGAGGATTAACCCCTTAGGTTCCACAGTGAGTATAACAAGCATGCTTTACTGCATATACAGACTGATTTTACTGTTGTGGGTTTAGTAACACTTTAAATCAGACTTAAAGTCAAATATTAGCTCCTCATTTTTCAAACCTCTACCCTGTCCCTACTATTTCTAACACTTAAACTGCCACAATAAAAGCTCCCATACCCTACGCCTGGTTCAATCTTTCCATAGGTCACTTGTGTGCTTTCTGATTGGTTAGTTAGGCACAAGAACAAGTTAAACTATGAACTTAGGGTTTAACAGGCATTGTTTGTGTAAAAAAATACCAACCTCTGACATCTGTTCAAAGGTCAAGGTAGACTTGGATAAAAAAAAAAGTGAGGGCTCAAATGAGGGGCTGCATGATTGGGTTGATGTTTGTATTTTGGAGGGGCTAACGCTTGAAGTAGTGCAGTGAGGATGAGTGACAATTTACCTTTGGGGTGAATCATCATTGTCAAGGGGATTATCCACACTGGAAGGGTTAGTGGACTGGATTAGCAGAAATTCTGGCATGGAAGGGAGATCTTTTTTTCTACCTGCTGGATTTTTTAGGGATTTGTATTTTTTAAAGCAGTAATGCTTGTTAAACCCTTAACAGTTCAAATGTACCTGTCATTGAATTCTGAATGATCTCAGAAGTGTCTCTAACTGATGCTATTGACACCAGCGTAAAGCCAGCTGGACAGGTAAAAAAAAAGACAATATTGAGTTGAATTACTAAAACTAGAGAGTGAAAAACCTGATGCAGCTCTGCGTGGTAGCTAATCAGTTTCTAACTTCAGCTTTGACATAAAAACCTGGAAGCTGATTGGTTTCAATGCACAGCTGCACCAGATTTTGCACTCTCCAGTTTTAGTAAAGCAACCTCTATGAAAACATGGAAACCCTGGTGTTGTGGGTGTCACCTGGTCCAGTGGAAGTGGATGAGTTTAGACAAATGAATTAGTCATGTGATCTGTCTGTCTATAAAGGTTTTCAGACATTCATGTCATGGGATATATATGGTAGTTAATCAAAATCAATGTTTCAAAATGAAAAAGTTTAATGACTCATACGTGTGGCTTCTTTAGTTTAAATAATACCACATATATATTCTCTGTCAATGAAACCATTATGAGTCACCCCCAACCCAGTTATCACAATGCCATTTATGCAAGACAGGTATTAATTAAAGTTACATACCTGGAGGCAGGGGCGGACTAACCATTTGGAAACTCGGGCACTGCCCGAGGGCCCGGGGTCAGTAGGGGGCCCCATGAGATACCCTTTTTCCTAGGCTTTTTTGAGTTTGGCCAAGGACACAGGGGCCCCATGATCCCCTATTGCCCGGGGGCCCCATGAGTTGTCAGTCCGCCCCTGCCTGGAGGTATTGATTGTTCTAAAAACATGATTCTCTTTGGGCAGGAGTTAAATGGCATTACATAACTTGAGGTGTGAAGTCTCTTACAATCAGATGAACTGAGCAGTGTAACATTTAAAAGGTTGTAACATTTTAGCATGTCCTGGATTACAGACTTGATTTCCTGCTACTAAATGTGAAGTGGTGTATTATCAATGGCCATTGCACTAAATCCATAATACCAAAATCCTAAATTATTCCTAAAGTCCTCCATGTAGGCAGGTGCAGCCTCTTTTCTCCACTGTAGGCGGTGCTCACACCACAGCAACATTGCAGAGGGAGGGGAAGTCAGGAGAAACCAGTTCTTATATGGTTTCCTGGATCACTGGGAAGTGATCTAGTTGGATGCTGCTGTCTCATGTGACTCTGGTGGCCATCTTGGGCCAGGCATAGTCTATTTAACCTCCCTGGCGGTATTCCCGAGTGTAGCTCGGGGTTAACTTTCAGTACCAGAAGCGGTAACCCTGAGCTACACTCAGGATTACACTGCAGCATTGCTCTGGGATCACTCCAGCACTTACCTTGTCCTGTGGTCCTGCGATGTCCCCCCTTGCAATGTCCCCAGCCATGTTCTCCGGCCGATGCCAGCATCCATCTTACGGGTTCTGTTCCCTGTGAGCATCGGGACGTATGGGACATATGGGGGACAAAACCGGTGGGAATTTCAAAAATATAAAAATTTTAAATTCACTCAATACACTTAAATCTGATAGTATAACATTATTGTATCAAAGCATTTCACATACATTTTGTCCCGAGTGCTTTGTCCTGTGCCCTGCCTGCATTTTTACTGTTCTTACTGCCTGGAAACTGAGAAATGTCCATGGCGTCCAAAAAGCGTCACTTTAGGTCAAAAGAGGTTTTAGACCAGCTAGAGAACAGCGATAGTGAATTAGAACCACTTGCAGAATTGAGTGATAATGATTCATGGGGAAATTCATCATTAGACACGATTTTGCGACTAAGCTCGGTGATGTGCGAACTTGGCACTCTATTTCAAATTTCAGTGTTTTTGGTTTGATTACATTATTGAATTAAATGTATTATTATTATATTATTATGAATAAGTACATATGGATCAATCAGATAAATCAAAACCATAAGTGGTATAATAACATATGTAAACACATACCGTATTTTTCGCCGTATAAGACGCACCTGACCATAAGACGCACCTAGGTTTTAGAGGCAGAAAACAGGAAAAAAAAAATTCTGAACTAATGGACTGCAGACACAGTACAGGAGATGACCAGAGACTGCGGACAGCACAGGGATGACCAGAGACTGCAGACAGCACAGGGATGACCAGAGACTGCGGACAGCACAGGGATGACCAGAGACTGCGGACAGCACAGGGATGACCAGAGACTGCGGACAGCACAGATGACTGCTGACCTTTGGGGAGGTGGGGAGCGGGTACCTGAATTTGACAGGTACCCGCTCTTACTTCCGCAGAGTTTTTGTTTGAGCTTACTTGTTTCTCGATCCAGCCGCGCGCTGTCTTCCCAGCTTCTGTAATGGCGCTCGGTAGAGATGAGCGAATCGAACCAGGCGAAGTGGAATTCGATTCGAATTTCAGGAAAAATTCAATTCGCGTCGAATCCGAATATTAGCCTACTTCGGGTGCTGCGCGAATCGGATTTTTCCCGATCAGCCGGCAAAAGTGTCCCTGCAGAGAGCTCCGCTATTTCTGACAGTTCTCTGACAGTTCCTTCACATGTACAGCGGTTGAAACATTGTATCTATTTGTTTCCATTTAGGATACAGATGTTTTTATTCGGAAACAGATACAATGTTTCAACCGCTGTAAATGTGAAAGTCAGAGAACTGTCAGAAATAGAGGAGCTCTGCAGATACACTTTTTGCCGGTTTGGAATTATTCTTATTTTCATCCTACTTCTTCTTCTTCTTCTTCTTCTTCTTCATCCTCATCCTCAGAAGAAGAAGAAGAGGATGAGGATGAGGATGAAGAAGAAGAAGAAGAAGAAGAAGAAGAAGTAGGATGAAAATAAGAAGAATTCCAAGCCGGCAAAAAGTGTATGCAGAGCTCCTCTATTCTGCAGATACACTTAGAGGAGCTCTGCAGATACACTTTTTGCCGGCTTGGAATTCTTCTTATTTTCATCCTACTTCTTCTTCTTCTTCCTCTTCATCCTCATCCTCATCCTCATCCTCTTCTTCTTCTTCTTCTGAGGATGAGGATGAAGAAGAAGAAGAAGAAGTAGGATGAAAATAAGAAGAATTCCAAGCCAGCAAAAAGTGTATCTGCAGAGCTCCTCTATTTCTGCAGATACACTTAGAGGAGCTCTGCAGATGCACTTTTTGCCGGCTTGGAATTCTTCTTATTTTCATCCTACTTCTTCTTCTTCTTCATTCATCCTCATCCTCATCCTCAGAAGAAGAAGAAGAGGATGAGGATGAAGATGAAGAAGAGAAGAAGAAGTAGGATGAAAATAAGAAGAATTCCAAGCCGGCAAAAAGTGTATCTGCAGAGCCCGCTAAGTGTATCTGCAGAGCTCCGCTATTTCTGACGTGACATTCCCTCCATACAGCGGTTGAAACATTGTATCTATTTGTTTCCATTTATGGAAACAAATAGATACAATGTTTCAACCGCTGTATGGAGGGAATGTCACAGAACTGTCAGAAATAGCCTATTTCTGACAGTTCTGTGACATTCACTCCATACAGCGGTTTCAACCGCTGTATGGAGGGAATGTCACAGAACAGTCAGAAATAGCCTATTTCTGACAGTTCTGTGACATTTCCTCCATACAGCGGTTGAAACATTGTATCTATTTGTTTCCATTTATGGAAACAAATAGATACAATGTTTCAACCGCTGTATGGAGGGAATGTCACAGAACTGTCAGAAATAGCCTATTTCTGACAGTTCTGTGACATTCACTCCATACAGCGGTTTCAACCGCTGTATGGAGGGAATGTCACAGAACTGTCAGAAATAGCCTATTTCTGACAGTTCTGTGACATTTCCTCCATACAGCGGTTGAAACATTGTATCTATTTGTTTCCATAAATGGAAACAAATAGATACAATGTTTCAACCGCTGTATGGAGGGAATGTCACAGAACTGTCAGAAATAGCGGAGCTCTGCAGATACACTTAGCGGAGCTCTGCAGATAGATACAGCGGTTGAAACATAGGCTATGTTTCAACCGCTGTATGGAGTGAATGTCAGAGAACTGTCAGAAATAGCCTTATTCTGACAGTTCTCTGACATTCACTCCATACAGCGGTTGAAACATAGCCTATGTTTCAACCGCTGTATCTATCTGCAGAGCTCCGCTAAGTGTATCTGCAGAGCTCCGCTATTTCTGACAGTTCTGTAACATTCCCTCCATACAGCGGTTGAAACATTGTATCTATTTGTTTCCTTCTCCTTCTTCTCATCCTTCTCCTTCTTCTCATCCTTCTCCTTCTCCTTCTTCTCATCCTTCTTCTCATCCTTCTCCTTCTTCTCATCCTTCTTCTCATCCTTCTCCTTCTTCTCATGCTTCTCCTTCTTCTCATCCTTCTCCTTCTCCTTCTTCTCATCCTTCTCCTTCTTCTCATCCTTCTCCTTCTCCTTCTTCTCATCCTTCTCCTTCTTCTCATCCTTCTCCTTCTCCTTCTCATCCTTCTCCTTCTTCTCATCCTTCTCCTTCTCCTTCTTCTTCTCCTTCTCCTTCTTCTCATCCTTCTCCTTCTTCTCCTTCTTCTCCTTCTTCTCATCCTTCTCCTTCTTCTCATCCTTTTTCTCATCCCTTCTTCTCATCCTCTTCTTCTTCTTCTTCTCATCCTTCTTCTCATCCTTCTCCTTCTTCTCATCCTTCTCCCTTCTTCTCATCCTTCTTCTCATCCTCTTCTCATCCTTCTTCTTCTTCTCATCCTTCTTCTTCTTCTCATCCTTCTCCTTCTTCTCATCCTTTTTCTCTCATCCTTCTCCTTCTTCTCATCCTTCTTCTCATCCTTCTTCTCATCCTTCTCCTTCTTCTCATCCTTCTCCTTCTTCTCATCCTTCTCCTTCTCCCTTCTTCTTCTCATCCTTCTCCTTCTTCTTCTTCTTCTTCTCCTTCTCCTTCTTCTCTCATCCTTCTCCTTCTTCTCATCCTTCTCATCCTTCTTCTCATCCTTCTCCTTCTTCTCATCCTTCTCCTTCTTCTCATCCTTCTCCTTCTCCTTCTTCTCATCCTTCTCCTTCTTCTCATCCTTCTCCTTCTCTTCTCTCATCCTTCTCCTTCTTCTCATCCTTCTCCTTCTCCTTCTTCTCATCCTTCTCCTTCTCCTTCTTCTCATCCTTCTCCTTCTCCTCATCCTTCTCCTTCTCCTTCTTCTCATCCTTCTCCTTCTTCTCATCCTTCTCCTTCTTCTCATCCTTCTCCTTCTCCTTCTTCTCATCCTTCTCCTTCTCCTTCTCCTTGTCCTTCCTCATCTCCAAGGGCATTTAAATTAAAGGTACAGTGTTCTGCACTAATTTAAAGGCTCTCTGCAGCTTAGAAACCCTTTTAATAAGTAAAATCGTAGCGAATTAATTCGCATCGAATCGAATTTCTTCCTCAAATTCGGCGAATCAGCCGAATCGAATTTTTGAATAATTCGCTCATCTCTAGCACTCGGCATGACAGCCGGGTGCCCAGTGCGCATGAGCGAGAAGCACTTGCGCTTTGTGATTGGTCCGGCGGCTTCTGGGATCTGTCATGTGTCCCAGGTACCGCCTTACCATTCACAAAAAGCACCGCTTCTTGCGCATGCGCACTTGGCACCCGGCTGTCATGCCACACTACAGAAGCCGGGAAGACAGCACGCCGCTGGATAGAGGAACAAGTAAGGTCCCGCTGCAGAGCTGAGCGGCCGGCCCGGTATTCTGACACGGCCGCGGTGAAAATACCGGACCGGCCGCCCCATATTCGCCTTATAAGACGCACTGACATTTCCCCCCCAGTTTTGGGGAAGAAAAAGTGCGTCTTATAGGGCGAAAAATACGGTATGCTAGCTCAGTCTTTAGAGTACTAATGTAGAGGTGATTGAGTGCAGATGTTACAACGATCCACGGTCAGAGAT